TGGGTGGATGGGGAAGCACCGGGCGAGGGTCTCCGGGGACGTTGCCCGTCCTTTCCTCGGCCCGTATCTCAGGGGGTCGGGGCTTTGCAGCGGAGGGTCGTGAGCGGTCCCCCTGCCGCTTCTCTCTAGCGGCAATAATAAGGCAAGGGGTGCCCGCTCTATGTTGACTTCTTGGGATTTAGCCTCACTAAATGCGACGCAACTTCGAATAAAGGCGCCTTCTCGTCTCTCCCCCCCCCGGCTTTGGTGGGACCGCACCTCGTTGCTCCTTTACTAAATTCGGTGTTTTCTTCCGATTCCGTTTGTTCAACATGCCTAAAAGCAAAGGCGGAGGGACAAGGAAGCGGGAAGGAGAAGGCAGCTGCTGCCCATTGATCACAGACTCTGTGGTTATGGTGGTGGCGAAGGGAAGGCACTCTGTACCTGTTCTAGACAGTCTCTTTTATGCCTCGTCACTTCTCACCTTTCCAAAGACCTGCTGGCTAGATTGCAAATTTTGACACTGGAAGCAGGAACACATGGAATGGGGCTGGGGGGGAGTTGCCGATGATCAAAATATGCTCCCACCTTTGCTATTTGCACCCTGCGTTTGTTAAGATGGTGGTTACCTGGGATTAGTCAGAAGTCAACGTTTCTCACCTGAGCCTATTCCTGTACTTACAGTTTTGTGCTGTAATCTGATAGAAATCTCTCCCACCTTGTCAGCTTTTTTTTTCCTGGATCTGCACTGACCTTTTCTTTCTTTTTGCTGGTTTCAGAAACTTGAGCTCTGCTCCGGGTTCCATGTCTCCAACCACCACTTCCCAGATCTTGGCTAGGAAAAGACGCCGAGGAGTAAGTCTCTTGCTGCTGTGCTAAATGCCCCCCCTCAATTCCCATTACTGCCCTTGCAACAAAAATGCCTCTTTCCTTGCAGATCATTGAGAAGCGTCGCAGGGATCGGATTAACAATAGCCTGTCTGAGCTAAGGAGGCTGGTGCCGAGTGCCTTTGAAAAGCAGGTAATTTTTAGGTAGCTGGGAGTGATGTTGGTGCTTTTGGGCTCCCTCTGTTTTCATTGAGTTTCTGCTCTCCTGCCCTCTTTGCTTGGCTTGAATCCATCCGCCTTTATGCTGATGACTTGTCATGTTTTTTTTAAAGGGATCGGCCAAACTGGAAAAAGCCGAAATCTTGCAGATGACTGTGGATCATCTGAAAATGTTGCACACAGCAGGAGGGAAAGGTGAGGTTTCTTGCCTAGCAGACCCATACTCTGGGTCTGATTCCTTATCTAACCAAAATGGCAAAACTCAGGCACAAGAAGGAATCCTGTATGAGTTTATGGGAACCCTGAGTTTTGCAGAAGCATAAAATAGCTTCAGGAAAAAAAAATCTTGCATGGAAACATGCCAGTGAAAAGAAATGGAATGAAGTATTCTGGAAGAGGATGTGGCTGGTTGGCTGTAACGTGGAACAGGGCCCCCCTAGGCTGCAACAATTGAGTTGCAGGTCTCATCTGTGACACCGTAGTGCGTCATAGTGAAGATTTATTCAGAATGCAGATGCTGTCTCTTTGGCATGTTGACTGTCAGTACAAATCCACAGACTGCATACTCCTGGGCAGATTTAGAAGAGGTAACTGTGTTAGTCTGTGCTAGCATGTCAGGCAAAAACAAAATAAAAAATAAAGAAGATAAAGCCATTGTAGCATTTTAAAGATTAACTGCCATATTTTACATTAATATAGTAGTTAGTCATTAAGGTGCCACAACATCTTTATCTTCTATATTTTTTTACTTTTCATTTGTTTTTGCCTGATACCTTGGCCTACTCTGGAATAAATGGGATGGAAGGATGGAGACATTTTTTACACTTTTTACACATTTACTTTCTTTAAAGGGAAGGGAATGATGTTCTACTGAAAGCAATAGAATGCACGTCTAGGTAACTTTAGGGTTGGGCTGTGCATAGTTTATCTTTTCCTTTGTTCTTTTAATTGTGGTTATATTTTAAGAATTTTATAGTGTTTCTCTTTTTTAGCATTTTAGCTTGTGAGCTGTCTCATGGACCAAAACTCACTATACAAACATAATAAACAGTTAATTGTATCCCCTAAAAGAAGGTGTGAGAAAGTGCAGTGTTGTTTACAAATAACCTGTTAGTAATAAGTTTTTATTGATGTACAATAGCTGCAATTTACAACCTATTAATAACTCCTATTAAAATCAGAATTACTGCTCCAGAATATCTAGGTTTTGGGTTGTGACTAAGGAGGTTTAGAATTAACAGACACATGTTGTTTATAGACTGTATCAGGTTCAATCCACTGTGTTGCTAGTAGGACTAGAAGCAAATCCTGAACTCTAGAGAGAGCCACCATGAGTTGACATTACTGGCCTGAATAGACCAATGGTGGTTCTGCATTAAGCAGCTTATGTTCCTAGGAGAGAGAAAAGGAGAAGATGCAGAGTGGAGACATGTATATGGCAGTGCCTGTAGCTACATGGCAAAAGGTCCCTCCAATTAATAGTATCTTAATAGCTATGCTGGATGGCTGGGAGCTTCCAGAGTTGTAGGCCACCAAAGAGAATAATTTACTGCGAACTAACTTAGCACAGGTCAACTGCACATTAACTAGCATTTTGCTACTGCATGACATTTATCTTTTTGTTGTGAATGAATCTGTGGAGGAAAGACCTGGGAATAAGGAAGTTTCCCTCATGTGCGGATTTTGGTAATAGTCTTCGGCAGCTTCAGCTCAGAGCTGAGTGTGCTTGCAATTTGGTCACCTAACATGTCAGTCAGATTGTACTATATCGCTAATGGCTAGAACCTGCTGTGCTAATGGGCAGAAATTGTTTAAAATGAATGTGGAGTTGAAACGCCTCTTTGCCATCTTGTGCCTTTCATTTTCACAGGATCTGGCCAGGAAGTTTCTGCAGTTGTATTCATATTTTATTCTGATTCTTTTGGGATGTTAGGGAGAATTCTTTAGGGAGAATTAAGGCTGCCTGGTATAGATTTCATACTTCAAATCTTGGGTCTCTAGATCTTGTCAAACTACAGTTCCCAGAAGCCTTGACCATGCAGACTGAGGCATTTTGGGAGCTGAAGTCCAAGAACATGTAGGAACCATAGAGATCATTGGTCAAGAGATAATAAATGGAAAGAGACGTCTATTCTGAACATACCCCTTTTTTGTTTTTCTTCCAGGTTATTTTGATGCTCATGCACTTGCTATGGACTACAGGAGTCTAGGTTTTCGAGAATGTTTGGCTGAAGTTGCCCGCTATCTGAGCATCATTGAGGGCCTAGACACTTCCGATCCTCTTCGTGTCCGCCTCGTGTCTCACCTGAATAATTATGCCTCTCAACGGGAAGCAGCAAGCAGCTCTCATGCAGGGCTTGGACAGATTCCATGGGGCAATGCTTTTGGACATCACCCCCACATCTCCCACCAATTGCTGCTGTCTCAGAATGGGCATACGTCTACAAATGGCACCATCTCTTCTGCAGAAGGCCATCATCCAAGCAGAAATGCGGCTCCTCATGCTGAATCATCGTCATTGAGACTGCCCCCTACGGGTGGCATTGGACCAGTGCTTCCTGTAGTCACTTCTGCTTCTAAACTCTCTCCCCCTTTGCTGTCCTCCATGGCTTCCCTTTCTGCGTTTCCTTTTCCTTTTGGTTCGTTCCATCTGTTGTCCCCTAACACTCTCAGTCCATCCACGCCAGCACAATCTGCCAGCCTGGGCAAGCCTTACAGACCATGGGGGACTGAGATTGGTGCATTCTAAGGGGGTAGAGAGGGGGCTGTGTGCATGTGGTATGTGTGTGTAAATATCCAGCTGAGCTGGGGCCTTTCCAACTTCAGTTCTAAATTCTCTTTAACAGTTTTTATGTAAAAGGTACAATTTTGCTTTTAACAGAGTTTGTACAAAAAAAAGAGTGTTCCTCTTCTTCCTTCCCCATAATGTGTTAGCAGTTGGGGGGGGGGGATTGCCCAATATTTATCCAAATCTTTAAACCACAGTAGATGTTATTTTTAAAAATAGACTTGTGCTGACTATCTTATTATGTTAGTCAATTAGTGGAATTTCTTGAATGATCCTGTTTGTCTGAGAACGCTGGGTCTTTTTTTTAAAGAGTAGAATATCTTTTTGCTTAGAACAAAAGAGCCTTAACACACATTTTGTTCTGTTTTTGTCTTTTCTCTCTCTCTCTCTCTCTTTCTTTTGGTGAAACTGAGATGTTTTTCAAAGGAGACAATCTTGTGTTAACTATATTCTAACTTCTGTATTTCTGAGCAAAAGCATTGACAAACCAGATGGACCTGATTTATCTGAGAAGAAGAATATAACTTTTGTTACTAGATCAGTGGTTCAGTCTAGCTTGCAGATTCTAATACATCTTGATTTCCATTTTAGAACCCTTGCTCAGTTTCATGTGTCAGATTATATTTCTTCCCCCCCCTTGCCATGAAGCCAACATCTACAAGTATCACTTATGCTAGGAGCTTTTCCTTATTTACTTCAGCTTTTGATATACAAGGCTGCACCGAAGCCAGGCAGCACAAGTCTTGTGTCTACTACAGAGTAAGTTGTAGAGTTCAATCAAATCCTCCCAAGTAATCATGTACAGAACTGCAGCCCAAGTTAGCATGGCATTTTTTTGAGTGCAGTGTCAGTCAATCACCCTCTTACCCCACTAATTTCAACTAAATTATCTTCAGCTGCCTTCGTTGGGATCCAACCAATTAGCTGAAACCCTAGTGCTTAGTGTAGAAAGTCAATCTAGTGCAGGCCCATTGAATAAGTGGGGATTTGGTGAGTCAAGTCCTCTGTAGGTTCCTATTCTAGTTGCAACTTGCTATGCTAAGCAACAGGATGTCACCCATTATCTCACTTCTGTCCTTTTTTCTTGTCTGAATTTAGGTAAGTCATCACTTTAAGTCACTCTAAGAAAGGTTGTCCAGTTTCAGCCAGAGAACATGGGCTGAGATCCAGGCCTAGTTAATGATTGTTAGTCTCAGTGAAATACATAGAACTTATGTCAATGAACACAAACTTTTAAAGCTGATAACAAAAGAACATAAGTGTGATTAATCTTGTTTCAACTGAGGTTCACTTTTAAATTTGGTGCTGATTAAAGTGAGGTCTGAGGTATTTCTGGTTCTCTCCTTGGGTTGCTCTCCTTAAAACCCCTTTTAACCATAACCTCTTGACTGGACTTGGAAATGAGTATCTTCAAGGGAACAGATAATTCGGTGGACAGCTACTTGGTATTTTGCTTTCTTGGCGTGTCATAAGAAAAATTAGATTTCTTCCTCTTTCCTTCAGATATATTATTCCCCATCTCCTGCAGAGAATTCCCAAACAGTACTGAAAAAGATTTAGGATGACAAAGGGAACCATGGGGTGCAGAAAGTTCTTATTTGGTGACAGAAGTACATAACCTATGAAATAAAACCCATTGCCTGTTATTTTCACACCTGGACACAGCAGGATATCACCTATTGTGATGGCAGAACATGAGAGAATATGGTGGTGCCTGAGGAAACTTGAGCTGCTAAGATTTATTTTTTCCAAATTGGAGGTTCCACTGCTGTAGAACAGCTGTGGAAAGCATAACATGTTACACCTAATGCTTACATATGAAAAAGGCTTCATGTGGTCTTCCAGTAGCTGAGAAATGGAGAAAATGACAGCAATTCCAGGACTTTTCCTGGTGCTCTTAGCTAATGTTTATCGAACTGTCATAGAACTCTGTGGAGTTGGAAAGGACCTATAAGGCCATTGAGTCCAACCTTCCCATTATATTTGATAGAGGGTTATCAGACGGACCTATAAAGCCATTGAGTCCAACCCTCCCATTATATTTGATAGAGGAGTATCAGACTTTGTCTTGAATGCTTCCAATGTTGGAGCACACATCATCTCCTGAGATGGTTGGTTCTATTGTTCTGCTCTAACAGGAAGTTTTTCTATTGCTCCATCACACTGCAGTGGGCTGGCCCAAGACATATTGCTATCTGAGGCATAATAGCAAATAGAGCTCTTCCTCCCCAAAGCGAATGGGCACAATATCCTAAATTAGTGATGTTGCTTGGCACCAGAGGCAGAAAGTGAAATAAACATGTAATTACAACATATTTGCAGTTTGTTACCCTTTCATAACATTTGAAGTAATCTGCCAGAGGCAACCTCATCACTCCACTTAAAGGCGGGGCCAATTGTACTGTCACATATGCCATTGATCTTCTGTCCCATGGGGTGGGTGGGACTAGCTAGAAGAAGAAAATGTGCTAATTCTGCTTTTAACAATACAATAGAAATGAAGATAATTTAGTTTAGAATCCTGTTATTTACAACTTTAGTGTAATTGCATAATTCTTAGTGGCAAATTGGTGCATGTTAAGAGGTCAGCATAGATGTGTGCTTCATAACAGGAAATGTATAGGCTGATTTCTCAACTTGCAAATATTTGCCACTGAAATTCTTATCAGTTGATTTTTCCCATTGTAAATGTGTAATAGGATTCTGGCCAATATTTGCTGCAATCTGTGTCATTCCTTTCTTCCATTAGTTTTCATGTCACAGAACTTTGGATTTTACAGTGCAGTATTCCGGTGGCTCAAAACATAGAATAGATGAACATCATCAAGATCACTGTAATACATGGGGGAGGGTTTTTTTGGGCTCTGGACTTAACCTTGGAGGGTAATGAGAAAAGGACCCCACATTTTGGGGAAACCTCTTGTATACTGGTTTGAATATATAAAATCTCCCTGAACAGGTTTGCCCTTTAAACAGAAACTCTAAAGAGAGTTCCACCAAATTCAGTTTGATCTTTCTCTCTTTTTTTGTATTTGTCTTTAAATAAAATAAGAAGATAAAGTTGAATGGCAGCTTTCTCTAGCTACACAAAAGGAAAAAACAGTTTTCAACAGGTTATGGTGAAGATGTCATCTTTTGTATTGCTCTAAATGTAATGTTCAGTAAATAATGTATGTTTCTATTTCACTGTTATCTTCTAATTGTCCTATGAAGTCAACTTTCACAATACAGTGGTGCCCCGCAAGACGAATGTAATTCGTTCTGCGAGAATCACTGTCTTGCGAAAAAATCGTCTTGTGAGGTTCCCTATGGGAACCTTGCAAGACAAATGAAATGTATTCGTCTTGTGAGGCATTGGTCTTGGGAAAAAGAAAACCCGTCTTGCAAAGCATGGTCATAGAAGAAACCATCTTGCGAGGCACCATAGCAATTGCAAAAACTAATCGTCTTGCGGGTTTTTCGTCCCGCAAGGCAATCGTCTTGCGAGGCACCACTTATTTGCAAGGTGAGCATTAGGAAACCTCTTTAAAATTATTTGATAGTCCCATATCTGCAATAGAAAAATAATCAGTTTCATGTGTTTGGTTAAATATGCTTGTGCTTTGCATATAAGAACCATTTTCATGGGCCTAAACCTGTTTTCCAGTCTCAACTAGAATAGATACCTTGACTGAAATACTGCTGCACAACTCTGTATAGTGAGGATGTATTCATCCGTGGCAAATTGCCACTGATTGAAGATAAATAGCTGCTGGTTATCGGCACTTTTGGGGTGTGTATAACTCACACTCAATGCAACAAAGTAGCATACACTCTCCAAATTGCCAAAGGAAGCCTTTAGTCAGTGACAATTTGCTTCACTTGATGACATGATCACAATTGTGAACATGGATCTGCACAACAGGATTTCTGCCACTGAATCAATGGGAAATTGGTAAGTTAACAGTTGTGTAAGTACCATTGACTCAAGAGGTCAGTTGTATCAGTGACTGAGAGGGATCTACAGTTGAATTTCAGCTATTGTCCCAGTGCCATCTGGTCATTGCATTTGCATGCCACTTTTCCTCAAGAGAACTCAAGGTGACATACGTGGCTTTTCTTGTCTCCAGTTTAATCTCACAACAGCCGTGTGAGGTAATTCAAACAGAGAGTGTCTGGCCCTAAGTCAGTGAGTTTTGTAGCTGAGCGGGCATTTGGAAGCAGCGTGTTTCTAAGTTGAAACTCTACGTTGCCTGCTCTTGCTGTCCAGCAAGATCTGGAGGGTCAAATGTACCTCATTCCTACTCATAAAAGGTACAGCAGACAAAAGGAAGAACAGAACACGTGATCCCACCTGGGGATGTTTGCTTAGTGTGCACACAAAAAAAGTCAAGTGTCAAGGAGACTTTTTTTTAAACCCCAGATGCGAAAGGCTGTTTTATTTTTCATTATTCACATTTTGAAACTTCATGATAGGGCAAAACTGAGGGATGTTGCCTTGCACTCTCCTACCAATGTTTTTATTCTTTTGCTCCTCTTTTGTGATGGTTGTGTTTATTGATATAAACTGAAAACAAAACCCAACAAAATAGGGGATGAGTTAGGTCTAGGGTAGTGTTCAGTGGGGTTCCACTTGCAATCAAAAGTTGGGGGAGGTGACTGATGTGATTCCTTCATCCCCTTGCGACTACTTCAGAAAGGTGTTCTGGAGAGTGGGGAGTGATGCTCTGCTTCTTCTTGAGAGTGGAGCAGAAGAATGAACTTCCATCCATGCAACTTAAATCTGCCCCAGTATTTCTAGGGCATCTGTTGATGAAGACTTGCAAAAATAAAATAAAATAAAAATCACAAAATAAATATGTTCCATAGCTGTGGCAGAACATTACAAATGGAGAACAAGGAACAAGAATGAAAGTAAAGTAGTAGCACATTGTAGCAATCCCTGTCATCCAGGCAAATGAAGAACCTGTGATAGGAGCCATCTGAAAGATCCAAAGAGCTGGGGCACAGACTTCATAAACTGTTTACTGTGATTAAAAGGTCAGTAATTTCAACCAACTACCTTTCACCTATTGACATTGATAGGTAGGTTTTGCTATCTTGTGCTTGAGGACGTGGTCCAGCTGCTAGTCATTTCTGAAGAAGTGAATGCATAGCTTCTGATGGGTGCAGCCTCCTTTGCCACTTCATTTTCTCTCATGAATTTATCTCTGTGGAGGACTTCCATCTACAAATGGGCTGAGATATGGGCCATAAGACAGCATCTCTCATTGAATGATCTTGGGTTCTAAAGCTTCAGAGGTGGTTCTTCTACCAGAAATGAAAAGCAGAAGGTGCACTTAGGACCTTGTTTTGTATTTGGCTTCAGGAGCCCAAAAGGTGCAAAAGTGAACTTCCCCACTTCTAACAGCTGAGTGCTTAACAGTGGAAAGCTGGCCAAGTATTAAGCAGTAACCTGGGGGTGGCCCTAACAGTTGTCTTGGTTTCTCCTGAAAAATGAATGGCTTGAGATTGTGGGTGGTGGGAACTGGAATGTAGTGACCTTCTTTTGTACATAGAGCTTGGAGAAAAAAACATTGTCAACCCCCAAGATGTGATGAATAAATCCTTG